GCAGTGCAAATACTTACCACCAAGCCACTAGAGTTTGCTTCCTGAAATAGTGCATGGGAATAGATCTTGCTCTAAAACCATCAGTAACCTTCTCAAGTTTGTTGACTGTTCTACAAGTAGTCAATTTGTGACAATAGATACCAATCTTAAAAGGAGAACCGTCCTGTCTCTGCCCCCTGCTCAGGCAGGTACATCCAGGGCTCATTTCTGTCTTTCATGGTCTTCTTGTCCGCTGACTGTAAGAAGCACTAGGGCTCAGCGTTATGCTTCCTGGTGCATTGTGGCTGGGCAGTAAGTGAACAGAGTGCCATAACCTGGATTTTCAGCCAGGAAGAGAAGGCATTTTCATATGCACACCCAAGCATAACGCTGGTATTTTACACAGGTACTTGTGCGAATGCCAGTGGTATGATGATAAAAGTGTAACTTGCCCACTGTGAGGGGCAAGGGAAGCCCTGATGTGAAGCAGTTCCTGTTTCTGTGGTATAAATACTCCCACCATGGGTGGTTTCATCATGTAATTGGCACACTTTCTGTCATAGTTCCATCATAAAAACACAGCAGATACAAACAACCTTAAGAGTATGGACAATAGTAGCATGCAAATGAATCATGCAAATGAAGTGACAGGTTTTGAGTATTAATTATTGTTGTTTTAAATATAACGCATTTCTTTGTAAGTTTATAGATTTCCTTTTTAACAGGGGTCATGGCTCATAAACTTTCTGAAATGTTAGTGATTGGCTCTTCTTATCTATGGACACGGCTTCACCATCACCTCTTGCACCTGATGGTCTCTCAGGGCCTCACTGAATCTTTGTTCCTTTGGGGTGAAGCATCCCCTTTTATACAAAGTGCCCTGTGCACATACCTGCTCTGATACACGCGTATTCCTGTGCACGATATATGAGACAACCTCCCCTACTGAGACCTGCTTGTTCTCCCCACCCGACAACTACCCCCAAATACTCTTACTCTCATGGAAACTTAGGAATGCTTAGCCAAGAGAGAGAAACAATCACAAAGGGAACACTTAAAACAAAAGGGAGGGGAAAGTAAAGAGGAGGAAAAACAAAGAAAATAAAAATGGGAGAAGGAAATGCGAGACAGACATAAGGACAACGGAATGGAAGGGGGCAACAGCATATTTAGTCTCTGCTCTATTCCCACATCTGAAGTCAAAATTACAGAACATCGGGGAATCCAAATATATGAGTTGCATTTAGCCTTGCAGACTTCAAGAGCCTTGCAAACTCGAGCCGGCAGGGCTGAGGGTGAGGCAGGAAATGGCTACATAAACAATCTGTTGCTTCCAGAGGTTCCTCTCACGGAGGAGAACTCTGTCTGAAATGTGGTCACCTGGGACACATGAGCGATGGTGGGCCCAAAGCTCCATCAGACAACCTCCTGAGGAGTTTGGACGGCAACATGGCATTAAGTCTCAAAATGGCAGCTGGGAGATGTTAACACTTTTCCTCTAATTGGGAGAGCATGCTTTTAAAATAAGGAGGTATTTCAAATGCTCTTAATTAGACTTCCAACCCCAGGGCTTTCTTTTTGAAGTGTGCTGATTACTTCAGGCGAAGTTGGGCCCCGCTGAACTAGACACCTGCTGTAAATGGGAAGAAGGCATCCGGTGTGATGTGCAGAGGATTTCAGGTGGCCCAGCTAACTGAATGAACACAGACGCTCTTTCCTGCTTCAGAGTGGCAGGCTCACCAAGTGATGTGGTCTGGAAAAATGTCTGTGTGCCCAAATCTTGTGACTGAAAACAGAGTGATTTTTCAAGGTTCTAGTGAGGGTCTGGTCCAGTTGGCTAGGTGAGCCTCAGGAAGGGTGGGGAACTAGGGACAGAGAAGGGGACAGTGTGCCTTTGGCTCTGGAAGCCTCATCCCACCCCCAGAGATTAAAAATAGCCCAAGTTACTTGACTGCTGTTTTTCCACAGTGTCGTTTCCATTCCACCAGCACTACAAAGGCTGGGTGAAGAGGCCAGATGTTTGGAATCTGGTGGGTGGCAGCATGGCAGCCTGGGGATGACTCCACGTTCAGTGGCCTGTCCAGAGCAAGCTGGTGGAGCCGACTGGGAAGCCTGGCAGGGAGGTCCCCTTGGCACAGCTTTCCAGCAGAGGTCATTCGTTCTTCCTCAGCCGCCCTATGAGCTATGACCCCAGGGAACCCCTGCTCTTTGTTGGAGAAGGCACTCGGCAGAATTTTAGCTCTGAGTATGTGCCCAAGTCTTTGGCAATGAAAGGGTAGACTTGGCAGATTAATCCCAACCCTTGTTTCTGGAACGAAGTGTGGGAAACTCAGAGCACCCATCAGTGTGTCTTCAGATTCCTCATTGTATGTTTCTGATTTCATCAAGAGTTATTTCTATATGATCATCACCATTATTGCTGAAACTAGTCAACTTTCTTAATGACCTATGTTACTAGGGTTGAATGAGTCATCCTGCAGATGTTAGGAAATCTTCCATCCTCCCTCCCTCAACCCTAGAGACTGGCTTTCTCCAGTTAAAGGTCATCTCAGGGGCAAAAACAACTCAAGAGAGCCCTGTTGTTTGGAATGCATGAGTTTCTTATTAAATCACTCTCCACACGGCCCTGGGCTAGCCGGAGGAGATCCAGGTCATTCCTCTCAGAATACCTGCACCACCAGCCTTGCTGAGAGCTATACTCTCTTCCCAGGAGACTTGCTTGGACCACATATGGAATGGGGACATTTTCTGCAGATCCATTGCTTGAAAGGGGTCACTGGCCTCTCGGAGCCTGACCATGCTGCTTTAGTATTTTCATCCCCAACAAACAGATGCTTCCCTGGACATGCTCACCAGGCTGTGCCAAGAAATCTGGAGGACAATTATCTGGCCACTGACTGGAAGAGATCCATATTTATGGCCATTCCCCAAAAAAGGTGACCTGACAGAGTATGGAAATTATTGAACAATATACTAATATCACACTCAAGCAAAACTGTGCTGAAGATTATTTAAAAATGACTAGAATAGTACATTGATAGAGAACTACCAGAAGTACAAGCTGGGTTTAGAAGAGGCTGTGACACTAGAGACTTTATCAACAATGTCTGATGGATCTTGGCAGAAAGCAAAGAGTACTAGAGGAATGTATATCTGTGTTTCATTGAGCATATAAAGGCATTTGACTGTGTGGATCACAACAAATTGTGGCTAATCTTGAGGAGAATGGGAATCCCAGAGCACTTGATTGTGCTCATACAAAACCTATACTCAGACCAGGAAGCAGTCCTCAGAACAGAGCAAGGAAACACTGCATGGTTCAAAATTGGGAGAGGAGTGTATCATGGATGTGTCCTGTTTCCATACCTTTTCAATCTGTTCGTGGAACAGATCATTTGGGAGGCTTGGCTTTGTGAGGAGGAATGTGGTATCAGGATTAGAGGAAGACTCATCAACAACCTATGTTATGCAGATGATACAACCTTGCTTGTTAAAACTGAGAAGGACCTAAAGCATTTGCTGCAGAAGGTCAAGGACTGTGTCTTCAATATGGATTGAAGCTCAACATCAAGAAGACAAAGATTCTCACCACTAGACAAATTGGCAGCACCATGATAGATGGAGAAGAGATTGAGATTGTTAACAATTACAGCTTGCTTGACTCAACAATCAATACTCTTGGCACCAGCAGCCAGGAATTCAAAAGACAAATAGCATTGGGAAAAACTGTTGTCAGGCACCTCTCCAGAATACTGAGAAGCAATGGTGTCAGTCTAGATATCAAGGTGTGCCTAGTCCAGGCAATAGTTTTCTCAATTACTTGCTATGCATCAGAAATCTGGACAATGACTAAGGGTGACAGAAGAATTGATACCTTTTATCTGTGGTGCTGGAGAAGAGTATTGAAAATGTCATGGACCATCAAGAAAACAAACAGGTCCATTTTGGAGTGGGTGAAACCAAGCTGGAGGCTAGGATTTTGAAACTCCGTCTCAGATACTTTGGGCATGTGGCCAGGGGGACCACTCCTTGGAGAAGCATATCATGCTTGGAAGGGCAGAGGGACAGCATAGGAGAAGACTCTGGGTGAGACAGATTGATACAACATCCTAGGTAATGGGAATAGATGTGTTGGAGTCAGTGATACTGGCTCAGGATAGGGCAGGGTTTAGAGCTATTGTACAAAAGGTGTCTATGAGTCACAGGCAACTCAATGACACATAACAACAACAACAAAACTATTGTAGTGGATCCAGAATTTTGAGCAATAAATGGTATGGGTCTAGAAGTACTAAACTTGGACTCAGAGGGAATTGGGTTCAAGTTACTATGGGCAAGCCTTTAAATTGTTTTCATTCGATAAATGCCCTTACCTCATAAGGCTGTCCCTGAGTGGTGCTGATGGTTTACACACTTGGCTGCTAACTGAAAGGTTGGAAGTTTGGGTTCACTGACAGGCATCTCATAAGACAGGGCTGGTGAACTGTGTCTGAAAGTCCAGCTACTGAAAGCCCTGTGGTGCCCAGCTCTACTCTGACATGCAAGCGGGCATGGACCCGATGGGAATAGGTTCTCAAAGACCTGCCATGATGAGCAAAGGACATGGTGAACATAAAGCAGTACCCTGAGATCATCCTGTCCACCAGCAGCTGCTGTCATCATTGTCATTGATATGATTTTTACAGAAGCTCTAGAAACTTTAGCACAAGGCCATGAGGGGCCGGGACCCAGGGGGTGAGTTTAGATTGAGTAAAGGAAAAAGCTATGAAGATGAAGAGGCAGGGTGGCTGAGGAATCCAGGATGATGGGGAGGCAGCTGGAAGGCTCTGGGGCTGGAGGTGACAAACGGGAGTGGGCAGAAGGGAAACTGGTCCCGGAGAGGTAGAGCATTTAAATGGCATACCTTTTCTGCCTTAACCTTTCTAACGCTTTTAATTAGATTACCTTTTAGCTGGACCTGAGTTCCTAAGACCAGGTTAGCTTATATTACCTTTTTCCTGCAGGCTGCACTTTGTACCCACCTAGAGCTACCTGCTGCATATGCCGTTGGGTGATTTCTTCCTTCAAGTGACCTGTCAAAAACACAAAGGAAAACCATCTATCAGTTTCCAATGGGCTAGAGGAAAGTGTTAGGCTCAGAAGCATGTGGCAAGGTGAGAATAAGGAAGTAACAAGGAGGTTTAGCTTCCTAGAAGGGCCCGTCTAGACTCAGACTCTGGTGGAAGACAGGCTGCAAAGCCAGGGACCTGGGCACGTCAGTGCAATGGCACAGTCTATTTGGGGATCCAATCACCTTTTGGAATTGCTTAGGTCCTGCATTCACTCTGTGTCTGTAATACCCTGGGCGATATAAACAGCAAAGTTGTTGTTGTCTTAAGGTGCTGTTGAGTATGACTCCTAGCAACCCCATGGACTAAAGATCTGAACCCTGTTCTATCCTGTGCCATCCTCACACTTCCTGACACCCAAGAGTCCACTGCAGCAGTCACCATGTCAGTCCACCTAGTTAAGGGTCTTCCTCTCCTTCACTGATCCTCCACCCATCCCAGCATCACATCCTTCTCTAAGGAATAACCCTTCCCAGCAACAGGCCCACAGTGTATGAAGAGAAGCCTCATCATTCTTGCCTCCTTTGAGCACTTTGGCTGCATCCTCTCCAAGATATATCTTATATATTTTGATTAGTGGTCAAGCACTTTACTGTTAGTGAAAACCCTATGAAAACTAACAGTAAAGCGCTTGACTACTAATGAATCAAAATATTGGTGGTTCAAAAGCATCCAGAGGTACCTGAGAAATCAGGGCTGGTCTGATTTGAAAGGTTACAAAGCCTGGTCTGCTTTCAAAAGTCTTGAAAACCTTATGGAGCAATTTTATTCCACATACATGGGGAATCAATGAGTTGGAATCAAGTATATAGCAACTAACAAAAACAACAATCACTCACAACCTTTGCTAGGACATTAGTCTTTTGAACTGTCTATCTGTCCCTTATTGATGAACATGAAGTCAATTTGATCTTTTTCTAATTTATATGGTCACTTTTTAGGCCACTCCTTTCTTTAAGCTATACAAAACCATTTGAAGGAAAAAAGATGGTGATTTTAGTTATAATAACCATAATCTAAGCCCAAAACCTAATTATTTGGAACAGAGTTTATCTATTCTAGGTTATATTAATAAATATGTAGTGTATAGATCACAAGAAGTGAATGTTCTCTGCATGATCAGAACACACTGGTGTTTGTTCAGGGCGGCGAGTCCGTACAAGGACCAAGGATGCAAAGTTGGCATCCTAGAAGAAGGAGGCTGAGTAATCTGAGGCGACGTCATTTGAGAAATACCTGAGGTGGTCTAAGGCATTTCACTCTGTTGGCCTTGTGATAAGAAGCCGTGCTGCAATTCCAAAGGCATGTGGTTTGAATCCACCAGCTGCTCTGTGGGGGAAGGATAGGCAATCTCCTCTTGTGTGATTTACTGCCTCTTAAAACCTTCTGGAAAGTCAGTGATGGGTTGATTCTGACTCGATGGCATACAATTACAACAACAAATACAACATGACATTTAGATGGAAAAGAAACCATCTGATGGATGTGGAGGTTGCCTTTAAAATAGTTGAGCATTTTCAAATTGACAAGAGAACAGCCTTTTTTGTCCTATGACCAAGGACAGAAGTAAAGTAAAATGAAGGCCTGTCTAGAGCTCAGTCCAAGAAAGAAACACTGCCCGATGAGGACTGTTTCAAAGCGGATTAAGTCCGAATGTGGATTTAGCCTCTTGGCAAAAATTGTGAGCCTCTTCTTGAAAGTGCACAAGCAGAAGCTGGGTGACAACATTCATTTGGTTTGTAAGAGTGAGAATTCCTGCTCTGAGTAGGAATTTGGACGAAATGACCTCCAGGCTTCTTCAGTCTCTAAACTTCCGTGATTCCGTGCTTGAGGGATGGTCAAACAGAAGCCCTGGGATTTGTTTATGCCCAAAGGCCCAGCACACTTGTTAAAATGTCAAAGACTTCTATGTCTCGTGTCCTGAATGGGGGATGTGATCTAGGCACAGGGGGATTCTGAGAAGTTCTCAGACTTTCATTGCCCTCTTGTCTAGCATAAAGGAGCTCTGCCGGCATACTGTGTCGTGTGATGTGCTACTAATTCAAAGGTCAGTGGTGTGTTAACACACTTGCAGCTCCATGGGAGAAAGAGAAACAATCTCCTCCCATATTGATTTATAGCCTTGGAAACCTGGTGGAGGGTCACCATGAGTCGCAATCAGTTCATTGACAGCAAGGTTCGTCTAGTATATCTCTTCCCTCACATGAAATACAGTCTACACGTCAAAGGTGATGGCTGAGTCACATCTACAAAAGCTGAGTAAAACACAGAGCAGTCAAAGAAGACCGTGCCTCTCACACAAAGCTCTGGGACACTCCTACAAGACTGAGATTGGATGAGAGGGCAGAAGCCACACACTGAAACTGCTCACCCACTTTAGACTCCTTTGTGCTGAACAAAATGGTGACTTCAGTTCCTACATGTAAAGATTCAGGCTGTTCCATTAATTACACTACAAACAAGAAATTTCTGGAGTTGAACCCTGACTCCTTGTAGCTTTTAACTATTGGTCTGGCTTGTCCTCTAGTCTCTCATTGGCAATGCCTGCTTTGAATGCACTAGAGGATGTTACCATTTCAACTCTTGGACTTGGTCTGGGTTAAACGCCACTACTTCCTTACTCCTCCTTACTGCCTAATGAGGCAGGCCGTTGTCCTGGGTAAGAGTCCGTGGGCACCTGATAGTTATGTGCCTTGCCTTCTGTGGAGCCTCACTGGAAATACGCAATGGGAATACGCAGGAACAAGCCATGAATTGCATACTCATTCCAGTGGGGGGAGGATAAGTCTTAAGAAAGATGTTTATGAGGTTTGTAGAAGCAGAAAGAAAAACCAACGATGAGTACTGGTGAGCCTGCAACTAAAAGGAGAATCTGAAACCTGTGCCAGCCGCAGCCACTTATGGGATCTTTTTCTCTGAGCAACATGATCCTTCTTGTCTCTCTCAGAGGTAAAAACGTTGGGAGACATGAGGACTGTTGGGCTAAGACTTCAATGTATACCAAACATTACTGATGTGCATTTTTTAAAAAGAAGCCTATCACATACATTTGTTAAATAAAAGGAGCAACTGCTGTGATAAATACAGCATTCACTGAAAAACTCCTTTCAGTTACAGTGGTTGTTAAGGTCTCTTCTGTCTTCCCAGTATGGAGAGCCAGTGTGGCATTGGTGCCTTTTCCCTGGATATTTGGCACATGTGCCTTACATGTGCCTTAATTCTCCCTTCCTCATTAGACAAGATGATGGCTTCTTCCTGGGGTGCTCACCCTGGGCTACACGCCTCTACGGAAAAGCACTGCTTCAAGTGTGCCTTCTTATCAGTGAACTTCCTCATCAGAAATTTCAAAAACATACCTCCTGGACAATGTGCTTCCTTGACTGTACGACTTTCCACAATACATGACTTCCAGCTTATGTATGTAAAGATTCAGGCTGTTCCATTTATATGTTAGAAATTACTTGAATGGAGTTGAAACCTGACTCGTTGTAACTTTTCACTATTGGGCCTGGTTTGTTCTCTAGAAAAGTAGAGTTATAGGAGTTTCTTTCAATGGCAATGCCAGCTGTGAACACATCTGAAGATGTTACTAATACGGGTGGCCCTCTGGACACATCTCTCCTGGACAACACCCCTCTACAACAATGTGCCTTCCAAATGTATCTCCATACAAATGAGTGTCCCCAAAATATGCCTCCTCAAAGCTTTTTCTTAGAGAGGGTGCAGCCAGAGTGCTCTTTAGAGGTGAGAGTCATGGGGTTTCTTCACTTCACGTACTTTGGGCATGTTGTTTGGAGGGGCTATTCCTTGGAGAAGGACATGATGTTGGGAAGGGTGGAGGGTTGGCAAAGGAGAGGAAGACCCTCAGTCAGGTGGATTGATAGGATCACTGCTACAGTGGTCTCCTGTGTGTCAGGAAGTGTGAGGATGGCACAGGATAGAACAGGGTTCAGATCTTTTGTTCATAGGGTCGCAATGAGTCATGCTCAACTCGACAGCACCTAACAACGAGAACAAGAACAAGAACAAAAAAAACAAAAAACAAAAAACCCCCCAAAAAACAAAAAAAAAAAAACAAAAACAAAAACAAACAAGAACAACAGCAGCTTTGTTCACAGCAGATGCTCAACTTAGTATACCATAACTCTCTCTGTGCCCATTGGGTCAACTGCCTGGGTTTCATTTCCTCAAATGTTGGCAGTTTTTCTGGAATCAAGTTTAATCATTCTCTGCAGCCCGTAGCCTCTTAAGGGCTATTCATATAAGCAAAGAGTGAGATTAAGGAGGTAGGACTGAGAGGTCTATAAACTCGACAAACAAACAGATCCCAAGATCAGTGAGGCATTCTTAGGGGTCAGTAAATGAGCCTTCATGGTGTGATATCCGGGTAAAAGCAGTTGTGTGATGTGTTTGTTGCTGTTGTGTTTAGTGATGTTCAATTTTGGTGAATTGCCTAACATTTCCCATCACACGGCATTTAAAAAAGACATTTTACCAAACAAGCTAAACAACTTCATGGCTGATTCCTAATTGCATTTTCCAGCAGAGCCATTCTTCATGAGAAGATAACAGCCTCCGTAATCGGCTGGATCTACTGCACCGCAGGTTTTGGCAGAAGAAGGAGGTCAGGGGGATGCAGAACTCACTCAGCGTGCAGCCTGCTGTCATGAGCATGGTGATAAATTTGCTGGTTTTGGCCTGCGTTCCTGGACACATCCCCATCCAGAGGTATGGAAAAGAGATGAAATGGAAACAGAGAACTCCCAGCCTGAGGTCGGAGACGGTCTGGGAAGGAAGCAAGGAGCCTAAATCAGGGTTGAAAACCAAGACTGTGGGGAGTATGGGAAAACTCCACTTTGAAGGGAGATGTTGGTAATTAGTGATTTTTCCCTCTAGTAATTTACACAAGTACATGCCAGGAGTACTTTTTCTCTTGTTCCAATTCATTAATCCCTACCGTGGGG